TAGCTATATTATTTAGTTTTTAATTTTATTATTATATATGAAGTTATGAATCTTCTTTCTCGTTTTTATAGGAAAAACAAAAATGGAAAAAGGCTTTATTTTGAAAAAAAAAATAAGTCCCTAATTTTCATCTGTCAAAGATGTCAAACTATTTTAATGAGGTTACCTCAACAGTTAAAGCATGTGTTGCCCAAGTTATTTCCACTGTCTCTCTTCAGGACCTGCTAGACAAAAATAAGTTATCGTCCGGTTCACACTCCTTCCCGGTCTTCTGAACATCTTGTTTCCGGTTTAGGATTGGATATCTGATTCTTTCTAAAGTCTCCTTCAGTTCTGTATTTCTAAGGTCTCCGCCTAAACTCTAAAATTTTATGTACTATTTAATTATGTATTTTTTTCTCAATAGGAGTAGGTAGGTTCGCCTATCGTCCGGTTCACACTACTCCTCGGATTTTTGAACAAGAGTCGAGGTTTATCTATTGTTTCTACGTTTAGGATTTGGTTTCCGGTTCCATCTAAAATCTTTTTTATTCTCTTTCACGCCCAGTAGCCCCTAGCATCTTAGTGTTTATTTACTTGTTTATTTTAATGAATTAATGTTTAAAAACAGACAGTTGAAATTTTAAAAAATTTTTCAATTTTTTTTTTTAAATTTATATTATCAACATTTATTTTTATTGTTATTTTTGTTTGGGGTGAATTGATTAAAAAAAAAAAAAAAAAAAAAAGCTTGTGAAATAGACAATTTATTTATAATTGTATAGGAATGTTTTTGCTGGCTATTATTAGAGAAAATTTCACGTTTTTCCAATTTAAATTTTCTATGACAATAAAATACCGGTAGAAATTCCCATATCACATCATGAAATATTTGAGCTCAACAACTTTAACAAAAGGGTTGCAATGTCAATCATAAATATGAATACTGCTCGTTATTAACAGTTACAAATGAAAAGATTTAAGACTGACAACTTTTCCAATTCACTGAAACAGACACTAAACACAATTAGTTTGTTTGTTATTAATTTCTTTTATTTTACCTTTTTTCATTTTCATGCTGAAAAACATCTAAGATGGCATTTCCGTTGTCCATGCATTTAAAACGGAATAATCCTTTATTTATTAGGTATTGGGCGTAAAGTACGTACTAACTAAGGAACTAACGGAGAGACAAACAGAATATACTAAATCGACTGGACGCATGAGATTAAAAAACTACCAGTCTTAATTATTCTCTTGCTGATAGATTTTTTTTTTTACCCTGTGGCAGTGGATACTTCAGGGGTTATTGGCCCTCGTTCGATGGCGTTCCTTCGGAGGATTGGCGCGATTGCATCTCGATTAATGGACGAGCCTTTTTGAAACGGATTGGCTCTTGCAGCGTGTCTCACTGGCGATGGTTCGAGGTAATGCTTTCTCCATCATTGTAGCTGGCGGAGGATAGAAAAAATTATTTTATAGTTTCTGGAATTGTCATCAATGGTCAACTGAACTTGCTTTGTTTCAATAAATTACAATATCTTTATTTATCAGTTTTCTAAAAAAAAAAAATTAAAAAAAATTAAAAAAATTAAAAAATTAAAAAAATTTCGAACGTGTTAGAAAGGATTAAAAAATCCACCGTTTAACGGCTCAACATTTGCTTCATTTGTTCGCTTAGAGCCATTTCAGGCTATACATTCATTTAGAACGTGACGCGTCAAGGTTGTCTGAATGTTAGCAATATTCTGAAATGAATATTCTTATAGGTATAGACCAGGTTCTGGATGGCTACAACACGGTCCAAACAGGAGATCACAGCATAAATAGTAGAAAATGTTGTATATAACAAGTAATGGTAATAGTACGATTAATATTTTCCAATTCAGGAAATATTCCACATTCATTGAACGAACAATTAGCTTAACTATTGGTTGAAATTTACAAAATATTTTCTTTTCTTTTTTTTAAATTTATACTATTTACATTCGGACTATTGTCCCCATCTTTTTTGTTGTTATCACAACGTTTCGACCGCTGTAACTTACGACCTTCTTCAGATGCATATCGATCTCGATAATCTACAGGGAATTTTGAAATGAACCCTTTATTTAATCTACAGCGGTTGACTGTTCTCGTTACATTGCCCATATTTAAGGATATTGTCAAGTTCTTATTTTTAGTGATACTCTGTTATTGCACGTCCTGTTTCCACTGAGTCCAAGTGTACACGGCTCGGAACCAGGGATTCAAATCATAATTACTATGTCAATGAATTCACGAATCAAAGTTTTAATCCACTAGGCTATTTTCCGTAGGATCGATATACACCTGATGGAGGCCGACTGGCACAACGGTTGAAAAGTAATAAGAACAGCAAAATTAAGGACAATAGTGCGAATATAAATAGTGTAAATAATAACACCTCATCTCAGAAATTTAAACAAAAATTACCTTAAAAAGGCTCTCAAAGACATTGTTACTACTCTTTTTCTAGTATTGATTGGAGTTTCCTTCCTAACCTTTTGTTTAATGTATTGTGGACGTAGATAGTGTTTCAGTCCAGCAAATGCAGGTTATTTATACAGTACAAACCAGGTTATGACAAACAGAGATATTGCAGACCCTGGCACTATTTAAGAAAATGGTCATTTAAGCAATAAAATATATAAAAATAATAGTTTATGTAGATATATATATATAAAAATTAACAGAATCTAAAAATATTGGGTTTACAGCATTTTAGATTAAAAATCTTGATACATAATACCAATAAATGTTTTTTTAAAAATTAAAATACAGTTTTTTATATGTCATTTTTATAAATGTCAACTTTTAAACTGTACTTCGTCAATGATATCTGCGTACATAAACATTTTAAAAAATTAATTTCTTTTAAAATCAAGAACAAACCGAATTATGAGTTTGTATGCGTTTTATTAAGAAAATGATTTAAAATGTTTTATTAAGAAAATGTTTTAAATAATTAAATGCAGCTGTTTGTCAAAATTATATTTTTTTTATATTTTTTACGAAAAAGAAAATTTTGTAATTAAAAACAAACATATATAAATAATTTTAATTAAAGAATAAACATATATAGAGAATATATGTACATGTAACAAGCAATTGTTTGTCAGGTGAAACTTCATATTTTCTAAAACAAAAATGAGTCCTTTGAATTAAAAAAAATAAACCATTTTTAATAAAAGAACAGAAATTAATAAAAGTATAAAAAAGTAAACATATCCATGAGGTGGGGTGATTCAAACGTGACAACAAAAAAATTTTAAAAAAAATTCATTGATTGATTTTATGTTATATGTTTAGTAATAACATATTTCACAATCCAGGTTATAAAATGATTTTTAAAAATAGTCAAAAATATGCTCGTGTTATTGAATGCTTTTTTTTGATACCAAAAAGATAAATTCGAATAGTAAATCCGTAAAATGGTCCGAACAGAAAAAGATGAGGGATTTGGGTCCGTATATAATTTGGATGGATAGAATAGAGATAACTCATGAGTCGTCACGATACTTCCAACATTTATGCGTTATCTCTATGGTCACGTGATCCATTTTTTCAATAATGGGATCAGATGTTTGCTCACTGGCGATCTATGTTCAAACTCAAGTGTCCCAGAAATATATATATGTATAACAGAATCGGATGAAATTGTTCTGTGAAAAATTTTTAACTATTTTTTCTGAACCAGTTTTCTATTTTATCTTCATTTCATCAAGAAAACAAAAAACAAAACTAAGATACAAGATATTACTGAGATGAAAGAAAATGAGAAAAAACTTATTATTGAAGAGAAAGAACAAATGTCCAGATTTCAAAAAGAAGATGGAGATTGCTACGTTACAATTAAATTTTTTGAAGATCAAATGAAAGGAAAAGAAAAGCCAGAAAAAAGAGTTCCAAAGTCGAGACGTGTCAGAATAGTTCTATTAGAATAATTCTTGGGGTTCCGGAAGTTATCCCAACGCTAAAAATGGTGAAAATCTTATCCTGCCATTTGAGTCTGGTTCAGTTAAAAAAGCAGAAAAAAAAAGAAGGCTTCATCAGAAAAATTACCTGTGAAATATTTATAGAAAAGGCAACAAAACTACGTTACAGTAAATTGAGAAAGTATTTTCAAACAGGGATTTTTTTTGTCTGAAGACTGCCTGAATCTATTTACAGAACAGATAAAATAGGAGAATCATTAGAACAGTTAGGGAATCGATGGTAAATTTTACAATAGACTCGAACTCGGAACTATATTACAAGATTTTTTATTTAGGTAAAACGCTTCAGGATTTCGATGGGATCACCTGCAAACTAAAATGGTCTAGTGTTCATTGAAAGAGCTCTTAACAATTTTATGCAAGTAGTAATAATTTGGTACGAAGGTTATTTTTCAATATTTGTCTGTTTTAATCTATTAACCAAATAATACAGTGACACAAGGTGTTTTTTGGCACCATACCTATGCAGCAGATATGATACTTTATATTGTTTGTTCACTTGTAAAAAAATATTTAAAATTTGAAATAGGATGCGCTTTTCTGTAGAATAATTGGTGTCTATTAAATTTGTCATGCAATATATTTCACATTTTATCCAATGAATTTTATTCCCAAGGAAAAACAATAAGTTCAGACATCATAAGGCAAGACCTGTTTTTCTGTACCATTATTGTACGATAAAACAAACATTTTTTCTAATGCCCAAAACGAAGTTACTGCGAACTTTTTAAGGGTATTATTTTTTGATACGCCCCCCTTAAATGGAACATGTATTTTTTTCGAACAGCCATTTTATTCACCATATACATTTTTTAAAAAATATTACAATCATCATGGAATTGTTATTTGCCATTTTTATATATATATATATATATATATATATATATATATATATATATATATATATATATCAGTCAATGCGCATCCATTTATTTTACTGGCCCCCACGAGGCAGAAGGGCTCAATACTCATTTGGGGATTTGATGCTTCTAAAAAATAATTATTTCATAGGGTCCTATTGAAAAAAATAGGTGGAGAGATTAGATAGATAGAAATGAGGAAAATAAAAACTTGGTATTTAGGTAGAGAAAGGGGTAGACAGAGAAACATCTTTGGAGAAGAGAGAGAGATAAGCAGGAGAGACAGAGAGAGAGTTTGGGGGTAGGGAGAGAGAGAGAGACGATGGGGAGAGAGAGGAGGGGAGAGAGAGAGACAAGGATGGGAGAGGGAGAGAGAGAGACGATAAGGGGGAGGCAGAGAGAGGGCTTTTGGGGTAGGGAGAGAGAGAGAGAGATGGAGAAGATGGGAGAGAGAGAGAGAGAGAGGGGATGGAGTAGCAGAGAGAGAGAGGGGATAGGGATAAGGGCAGAGAGAGAGAGAGGGAGAGGTAGGGAGAGAGAGGGGGAGAGAGGGATGGGAGAGAGAGAGAGAGAGAGAGGGGATGGGAATGGAGAGAGAGAGAGAGGGGATGGGGTAGGCAGAGAGAGAGAGGGGATGGGGTGGCAGAAGAGAGGAGGGGGGGGTAGGCAGAAAGAGAGATGGGGTAGGCAGAAAGATGGGATGGGGGTAGGCAGAAAGAGAGAAAGGATGGGGCAGAAAGAGAGAGAGGGTGTAGGTAGAAAGAAATGAAAGAAGAAAATGAAATCGAGGAGAAATTACAAAAGTTGGAAACATCCAAACGATGGTATGGAGAAGATTGCTATCAATTTCTGGGGAAAGCCACTCGTTACGAATAGACTGATTTGTTTTTTTTTTACGACTTAACTTTTTGAAGCTTATTTAAGGCGCAAAAATATTTTTAGATTATAAGAATTTCATGGAGATAATAATGAATTACTGATACAAGTCCTAATTAATCCATAGCTGGGGAGAAGAGGTGGATTCATACCTTTCCCATGAGTATTTACACACAAGTGATTTCCAAATCAGAGTTGTTATCCATTGCACCACCCGCACATCCAACCTTACAGAACCTGGTATTCCCAAGCGGTTACCCATCACCAGGCTATATGATTGTACGAGAACCGCTATTTCAACGTGATATGGCCGTCAGCCTGAATGCTTAGTGAAGAGAGAGATCGAAGCGTTAGTGAAATGAAAAATTGCAAAAAAATAAATAAATAATAATAATACGGACGATCAACATAAAAGAAGGAACGATGGAGAAGAGTGAATGAGTAAAGAGGCAAATAGGGAAGATGAAAAGAAAAAGGCGAATGAATGAATCAAACAAAAAAGATTTGAATGAAAAATGTGAAGGAAGAAAGTATAGATAAAATGAAAGTTTAAATAAATAAATAAAAAGGTGAGAAAAAGGAAGAAGAAATAAAATTTTCTCAGGAACGACAAGAATCTAAAAACAATTATTCTGATCGTGGACCCGATTTCAATTTATCTTATTTGAAAGCTTATCTTTCCCAGGAATGACGAGACCAGTGCGTGATGAAGCTAAGTTAGTTTTAATTTTGTATGTATCTAGAAACCTTTGTTTTAATCCATTAATAAACTGTGTGATTTTTTTTTCTTGTTCACAAGAAAAAGGAAGAAAGAAAAGCAACAAGACGTATCTTTATCTGCGATTATTCCAACATGCGTTTATGTCTTGTTTATACTCTTTCTCGTTTTTATTGTCTTGCTCTTAGATTTAAACTCCTCATAAAACCTCTAGTTCTTTTCTTTCTTTCTATTCCTTAATTTCTTTTTTTCCTAGCGACTCTTTCTTTCTTTCTCCTAGCGACTCTTTCTTTCTTTCTTTCTCCAAGCGACTCTTTCTTTCTTTCTTTCTCCAAGCGACTCTTTCTTTCTTTCTTTTCCGCTGACTCTTTCTTTTCTTTTTTCTCCTAGCGACTCTCTTTTCTTTTCTTTCTTTTTCTCCTTTTTTTCTTTTCTTTTCTAATTTTCTTTGCCTTTTCTTTCTTTCTTTTTCCTTTTTCCTTTCGAAGGACTCTTTCTTTCTTTTCTTCCTTTTTCCTTCTTTGAAGCGACTCTTTCTTTCTTCTTCCTTTTTCTTTTTTTGCCTCAAGGACTTTTCTTTCTTTTCTTCCTTTTCCTTTTTTTTAGCGACTCTTTCTTTCTTTCTTCCTTTTTCCTTTTGCCTAGCGACTCTTTCTTTCTTTCTTCCTTTTTCCTTTTGCCTAGCGACTCTTTCTTTCTTTCTTCCTTTTTCCTTTTGCCTCTTTTCTTTTTCTTTCTTTTTCTTTTTTCGTTTTTTTTTCCAGCGACTCTTTTCTTTCTTTCTTCCTTTTCCTTTCAGCTATTTCTTTCTTTTCTTCCTTTTTGCCTAGCGACTCTTTCTTTTCTTTCTTCTTCTTTTTCCTTTTGCCTTTCGACTCTTTCTTTCTTTTTCCTTTGCCTTTTGACTCTTTCTTTCTTTCTTTCTTTTTCCTTTTTTTCAGCGACTCTTTTTTTTCTTTCTTCCTTTTCCTTTTCTCTTTAGCTTTCTTTTCTTTCTTCCTTTTTCCTTTTGCCCAGCGACTCTTTCTTTCTTTCTTCCTTTTCCTTTAGCGACTCTTTTTTTTCTTTCCCTTTTTCCTTTTCTTTTTCTTTTTCTTTCTCCTTTTTTCCTTTTTCCCTTTCTTTCTTTCTTCCTTTTTCCCAGCGACTCTTTCTTTCTTTCTTCCTTTTTCCCAGCGACTCTTTCTTTCTTTCTTCCTTTTTCCCAGCGACTCTTTCTTTCTTTCTTTTTTTCCCTTTTCTTCATTCGACTTTTTCTTTCTTTCTTTTCCTCTTTTATTTCTTTTCTTTCTTTCTTTTCCTAGAAGGACTCTTTTCTTTCTTTTCTTTTCCTTCCGACTCTTTCTTTTCTTTCTTTCTTTCTTTTCCCGATGAACTTTTTACCTTTCTTCCAAAATGTTTCATTTTCTTTCTTTCCATAACATCTTTCTCTTCCGTCCTTATTTCTTCCTCTTTCTCTACTTAATTTTTTTTTTTTTTCTTCTTTTTTTTTTTTTTTTATTTCTTCAGTCTTTCTTACGGTACTTCCCGACCTGAGTACACACCGAGATCCTATGCTAGTGGAAGGAATAGGTGAGGAATATTGTGCTACTTCTATCCTCCAAATTTGTCTGCTTTGAAATCCAGCAATCAAAATCTTTGGTTTTTACCAGCATTTGAACACTGACCACTACCACCGGGACGAGTCAGCCCACCTTTCGAACTTTATTTTTACTAATCGTTCATTATTTTAAATAATTTTCTTTTATCTTTTCATCTCATTCTTTTCTAACTACTTTCTTATGCTTGAATTTCTAGAATGTGAGGTTATTATTTACATTCGGACTAATGTCCTCATCTTTATTGTCATTATCTTAATATCAATAGATTAAAGAAAGGGTTCAAGTCGACATTCCCTGAAGTTTACGCGGATTCAGACACCTGAAGAAGACCAGAGAGTAAAACGAGCGAAACGTGATAACAAGGAAAATGAGGTCATTTGTTCTAGTATTAAAATCATGTAAATAAGGACGTTTTTTCTTTCCAAATCTAATTTTAATTTTTTGTTCTTTTCTGGAATCCCTAATCATTTTTTTCTTCTTTTCCACCTTTTGTCTTCCTTAATTTTTCTGATATTACTAAATTACTTCCGGTGCTAGCCTTTCTCTCTACTGTTTTTCAGTTTTTCTCGCACCTGTCTTCTTCATATGCATCTACCTTTTCCCTCAATTTCAATTTTTACCTTCTTTTCACTCTAGTCTTGCCTTCCCGCTCAAACTTCCTAATTATCTTATTTTTTTTTTTTAATTTCTACTTTTTCCTCGTTTGTTTGTTTTTTTTTCCTACCTTTCATTTTAGCTTCATTCTACATTTTTCAAATTCTCTGATTTCGCATAGAGTATCACTCATTCTAATTACTGGAATTATAGACGTGACTTCTTGAAGAAAATTCTAACTTTCATTTAGAAATAACAAAAAAGAACATTCTTTATTCATCGAAAACTCCTTATCAACAACATATTTTAAAATGTTCATTGATATGTCCGTTTCCCTTCTATCCGGGTATTTAATTGATTATCCATTTTTACCTTCCTGTTTTGTATTCATTTAACCTTCTTTTTTTCTTTCTTTCAGTAACTCCGTAGTCCCCAATGGCAATCTGATAGCCGTTTAATTTTGGCGTGAATAATAAAGTGGATGAGAATATAGATGAGAAGAACACGAAATTGAAGAAAATAAAAAAATAAAAAAAAAAGAAGAAAGGAATCTTCTTAGTCAGGTAATATGATTAATTGTAAAATTTATTGTTATATAAAGAGAAGCTGCGAAATAGGAAAAAATAAAAAAAGATAAAAGAGGATTAAAATAAAGAATTAAAGAAAAGCTACTAAAGAAGAAAAAAAAGAACCTGGTTTGTCTGGAGAAGTTAAAATGGAAAGAAATAAGATGAATATATGAGATAACAAGTTAGAGAAAATATCCGTGCAGGACAACCGTCTTGTTGTTTAAAGACAAATGGCGAAAAGTTACGAAAAACATACAAGAAATACAAATAAACGTTTGACAAAAGTTTTTCAGTCAAGTTGAAAACTGATCTAGAAGGTATTTTAATTTAAGAGTCCAAAACATGGCGAATGTTCATTGAAAATATGTCACTTTTCGTTTGCTACGATTTGTCTTTACGGCTGACAATGATTGGTCGAAATTCAATCCTTTACAGTACTTCGTCATAGAAAAATATCGTCTCGGTTGGTGCCAAAGAGTAACAAATTTTAAAAAGAATCCATAAAAAGTAAAGAAAAAAAAGGTTTCCAATAATGTTTCACACCAATGTGATTTAAAGGGTGTTAACGTTTAAAAATCAACTTCGTGGTAGTCAGTAGCGTGTGGTAGTCAGTAGCGTGTGGTAGTCAGTAGCGTGTGGTAGTCAGTAGCGTGTGGTAGTCAGTAGCGTGTGGTAGTCAGTAGCGTGTGGTAGTCAGTAGCGTGCAGAAGTGGGGAGGTGGAGAGGGTGCGACAGTCCCGGGCATCCATAACGGGAGAGCAACCAAAGAGTAAAATAAAAATTTAGTTTTTGAAATTGTCTGTTAACTTCGTTGTACAAAGCGCCATACAGTCGTACAAGCTGGTGAGAATGTGGGTCTATGTTTTGATAGGAGAGACCGGAGTATCCCCACCCCCGCTCGAGTCTTAGGGGCAAACAATGAAGGAGTTAGCCGCGTGCTTCAAACCTCTGCATGTAAGTCGTGGTAGTTGAATGATTTCAAATGAGCAGAGAAAAGTTTATCAATGGCCTTAGCTAAAGCTTGACATTCTTCTGAAATTGTTGTTCACTTATGTGCCGTGTCCCTTCAGGACGTGGTCGATCATAGCTCTCCAGGACTACCTATCCTTCGTAGCTTCAGTCCCTGTTCTGCCATACATTTATACAAGTTCCTTATGTGGGCGACTCGCTTTCAGTGTGTCTTGTGAGTGCCAAATTCCCCAAGCCTTTTTTCGCTAAATATAATTAAATGAAGTAATTTAACATTTTTAAACTTATTTCCTATTTAAGTTATGATAAACAAATGTTCATCTCTTTTTCTATTTTCCCAATCTTTCTTTCATGTTCAATTTATTATTGCTTTTCGTTAATAATTTTATACTGATAAACTTATTTAATATGCAAGAAAACGTGTATGAGAGAACAAG